AACCCAGTCGCGGTATGAGCCGCTGCTATTCCAGAAATCATTTAAATATGTGAAACGGCAAGTGAACGGTACAATGTTGTACCAGTGAGGTACTTTCTCAAAGCACACATTCCATGAGAATTGCCCTTGAGTTGCTGGTCCTGCATGGAGACTGAAGTGCGCACATACCGGAAGGTGATCTGATAGTGTCACCATACGGTTCGATTCGTATCGGTCGCATTGCAACGATTTACCTTTGTAAACGATCCGATCACACCAAGACGGCACACGTTCCTGGTCGTAGTATGAGGAGCCAACCTAAAAGACAGCATATGATCCTTGAGATTATTGGTCTGAATAAACGTATAACTTCGATTAATGACTATGTATGTCAGAAGCAAAAGGCGCACTGACGTATCGATGATGCTAGTAGACTGCGATTCCAGTATTCCAATTAGCTTTTCAGTGTAGCCCTGTCAGCGGGTAATTGATGTAGCTGGTCGAGCTAGAATCCCAAATGCTCCTGCCTCTTGCGTAAATTGAACATAAAGATTTTAACTTCAACTCTGACAGATAGTGCAAATCATGTGGCGTGCTGCAGGATCTAGATGAACTTTCCACGGTAGCAATGGCTTCATATGGGGATTTTGAAGAACTAACCAGCAAACGATAAGTCGGAGCAAAATGAATTTCCGGTTCGCTATAATCCATGAAAGCTTGCCGATCTCGTTGGGCCCTTCTGAGCTGATCAAATTCATTCACCAGCCGATCCATGTCGTCATTCAAATTTAGCTCTGATAACTTTCTGCAACTACTCGCACCGTACAGGTTCTCCTTGCTGTTTTACACAGCAGCAAGGTAATAATTTTGTGTACAAAGTGAAAAATTGCAACATATGCTTGTTTGTTTGTGTGTGACTTACTTTTGCGCATCCACGATTCGCGCAAATTCAGTCAAAATTTTAGATGAAGTGCGGAACTGCTGTGTTTTCTAGATTAAGGGGTTTCCGACATAAGCTAAAAGGGCGGAAAAGTGAAATCCCGACTGGAACGCATCGGGCGGGCCCGTGCGATCATGTGTTTTCGTACCGGACCTAAAGTACTCAAGTCATTAACTGCATGAATGGTTGTTGCTCCACACTTACCTTTTGCGGTCACTAGCATAAATCGCCATAAACTGTGCAAAATAAATGTACAATTTCCATTTAACAGTCGTTCTTTAAAAGCAATCTAGTTGTTCAGTGAGAAATTTTGCGCCAAAACTTTCAAGTGCTCGTACATAAGAACGACGCATCTCTCAAGGCTGAATTTAAAATACTTGAGTTGTACTTGGACAGGAAACATTCCCCGGAAATTTCACACCAAAATCTCTACATACCTGTACGTGGGCGCTCCACGTGCCTGGAAAGCCGAATTTGAAATTTTTAAATTGCACGTGGACAAGGAACATCCCCTTAAAATTTCAGCCTTCCCGAGTTAGTAATTTCTCCGCAGAAGATTTCCGTACGCCTTTACGTGAGTACCACGCATACCTGGAGGCTGAATTTGAAATATTTGAGTTATGCTTGGATAGGGAACAATCCCCCAAAATTTTAGCTTTGTAGCTTTCCTGGTATGCGGGTTAGCAAATTTTCCCCCTAAAACTTTCATACGCCCTTACGTGATTACTACGCATACCTGAAGGCTGAATTTGAATCTTTAGCTAATACATGCACAAGGAATATCCCTACAAAGTTTCAGCCTCTTAGCTCATGTGGTTCCCAGGACCGCTTCCCCGCCGAAAAATTTGTATATTTTTTTAAAGCGTCTGTACGTGACACCCAGGCGTCCGGGGGGATGAAATTAAAAAGCGAGGGTCGCGCATGGTATGGACACATACTCCTAAAGTTTCAGCCTTCTAGCTTTTCTGGTTCTCGAGCTGAAAGTGGGCGACAAAAAGTACGAACAAACAGACACACGCACAGCCTCTTCCCAATATGCGTTTTTGCAATTTACATATATGCAAAAATGCATAATAAGAAAAGCACCTCCAAGTCGTCATGAATCTCTGCGGTGCGCTACCTACCGTACTTCCCATGCTTCTGTGCTAATAGTCCAATGCTTTTGTTCCCTAGTTTTGACAACTCTAACTGTTAGCAATGGAGACCCTGCATATGCCTACTACTTGCTGCTAAGGAAAAGGATTCCGAAGAACTCTGTCCACTGCTCGGCTGATTATGCCTAAAACCAGTTATTATCGAAGAACGATGGGCATGACAAGACAATACAGTACGCGGGTGCGATGCGCAATAGTTCAGATTTTGCGAAAAAGGATGAAAAGCGCAGAAGGAAACCGTTAGATGCACTTGAATCAAAAAATTAGAAAGACTGCTCCCTTTGCAACAACTAACTTAACTGTTTTCATGAAACAGACAACCTGCCTTTGCTGGCTAGTGGCTTTTATACACCCAGAAATCAAGTAGTGCAACTATCAGTTGTTGTTGTTGTTATGCGATTGTATGAAAGCCTACTCTGTTCTCATTCCGGCATATGCAAAACTCATAGAAGGTATCGCAGAGGCGGAAAGAACACATTAAAACGATCCAAAGAAGCTAGGCAAAAAAAAATAATTGGCCAACGCACGGGCTGCTTGCGCGAAGATGCGTTTTTTGCATAGCTCCCGCAAATTTTTGTCGCTAACGACTGGTTTTTCCGGCAGATACTCCTAGCTAAAAGAATTTCAGACTGGCCATCAGGACTGTTCGAAAACGTCATTCAAAATCCCAATCTTCTACCTTCTTAGATTTCCGAGTTATGAACTTACCCGAAAAAAACTTTGGCAGGCCCGTACGCGGGTATCACGCTTACTCAAGGCTGGGTTTGTGCTCACTAACACCCACTTGGACGGGGAGCATCATTCTAAGATTTCAGCTTTCTAGCTTCTCAGATCCCCGAGTTATGAACTTACCCGAAAAAAACTTTGTCGGGCCCGTACGCGGGTAATGGCGCCCATTTTGAGGATTGGGGCCCGTACGTACATGTAGATAAAGTTCCCAAAGTTTCAGCCCTGTAGCTTTTGTAGCCTTGAGATGAAAAACGTGACAGACGCACACACGGACACACAGACACACACACAGACCTCTCGTCAATATGCGTTTTCCGCACTGCATAGCTGCAAAAAAACGCATTAAAATGGCAGCTGCGAGGCTATTTGCCTGCCTTTTGCATTTGCAGTGCCAATCACAAACACTGCAGGAAAAAAGGGCCGTGAAAAATATGTTCCTGATTTTTATTGTAATTATTTTGGCTGAGGCTGCAAAGCTCAAACAAATATTTTCAACAATAAGTGCTTTTGTTTTCTGTGAAAGTCTGCGGTGCCGGGCAACAGCAATCAAATGCTAAAAACACACTTGATCATTTCCTGAGCCGAAAGCCGATCAACTCGCCAGTTGAAGTCGCCTAGCCATATCACATTGGTGCCCGCACCGTTGCCTGCTTCATCATCAAAAGCACAAACTTTGCCATACTCATACTGTAAGCATCGCTTCTCAAAATTATTCACGTGCGGGAGAAGGTGCGATGTTATGAAGACCAGCGAACTTTCATCCTGAAAATGTTCCCTCTGTTTCATCCACTGAACAGTGCTGCTATAAGGTCTTACTATTGTTTCTTGGCAGTATATAGTTTATAAAGTTTTACTAGTTAATAATTGAGGTGCGTTATCTGGCTTATTTTTAGCGAGGCGCATCCCCTCGTCCAAAAAGAAAGTTTATAAGAAAAATCCGGTAAAATACCAACACAACTTTAGCCAGCTCCTGATTTTTATTATATTTTTCTGCATAAAAGTATCTCTATTTCATGGAGTAACAAAAGGTGAAGAAATCGAGACAATCAATAACAAAAATAAATCGCTTACTTTAAATTTGATCCGCAGCGACACGCTGCCTTTGTGACCAGTGAGGCCCCCTAAACTGGACCGTGACTGCCTGGAATCTATTTTCGTCACCAAAGGAAATATTTCCAGCGGAGCAAAAACCAGTAGTAAATTCCATGCAAGCGAAGTCTTGCAAAGAAGCGATTTGCCATGTGAACTCAACCATGCCGTAAGCACTGATAACCAAGTAGCCTCAGTCGGCACCGTACCAAACAATTCCGAATGAGAAAGCTCCTGAATTCGATAAAATACCTCAAATTGGTGAAAAAACGCGAATTTGATGAGTTCTTTGATCCCTACACATTTCCAATTTTCCTTTAGCTGTGCCTAGTTCGTATGGGGCTACGCGAATCATGTCATATTCAAGCCACAAAATATCTAGGAAGAGTGCGTCGGCGAAGCAAAGGTGAAACCTGTAATCCAATTGCAATAATCGTCGCAGCACTTGCATCCTCTTCTCGTATAAGCTGACTGATCTGATCGCTTTCTGGCTTTCTGCTATTGACATTGTACGTGATAGACACAATCTTCCAATCGGACTTACTCATTACCAGAGCAACATTCTGCAAAAACACACCAAAAATCCATATCTGGCTGGCATCAAAACATCACACTACAGCCTAGGCGTTCCACGAATCACCGCATCCTCGCATATCATTCATTTTGGTAATCGTTTCAGGGCTAGCCGACAAATTTAACGAAAGGAGATGGAACAAGTGATGCATCTTCCGGAAAACGTGAGCTGAAATAACCACCTTTGTTGTGCGTTTTTTGCATTTGTGCAATACAGGAGACGCATATTAAAGGAGAGGTTGTCTGCCTTTGTGTGTGTGTGTCTACACCGATTTTTCACCTCAAACCTCTAAAAGCTGCAGGGCTGAAACTCTGGGAGCTTAACCTACATTCATGCACGGGACCCAAATCTCAAAATGGGCGCTCTTATCCTCGTCGTGTCCACGTAGTTTTTGGGGAGGCAAGCTGCTAACTCAAGGATCAGCAAAGTTAGACTAGAATTTTAAGCCGATATTCCCCGTCCACTTGGGTATTAATGAACTCAAACCCAGCCAACGCGTATGCGTGGCCCTCGTGTACGGACCCGTAAGAGTTTTTTTTTTCTCGGGTAAGTTGCTAGCTCGGGAACTTGAAAATCTAGAAGACTGGAATTTTAACGGACTGTTCCCCGTCCAAGTGGTATTAATGAGCTGAAATCCAGCCCCCGCGTATGCATGGTTCTCACGTACAGGG